CAGACTGGTGGCCTGTCCAGGGTGTACCCCACCTCCTGCCCTATGGTTGCCGTGCAACCTTAAATTCGATGAGCAGAAGTTAATGGATGGAAAGTGATGCCGGTCCATTCTCTTTGTTATTATTAATAAAAAGGACCAGTGATGTACATATACTATACACCACATGTTAATTACAGATTAATTTTTTTAAATGCATTTTGTACATATGTGGACATGTCGAGGAATATTTTTGCCATGGTGGTTGCTACGCAGACAGTTTCCATCTACAGTCCTGCATATTTTCCTGCTCTAAGCTTCTGAGGTTGGAGAGAATTTCCTCAGAAGACAGTGGTTGCTACGCTGCTTCCGGCACTCTGAGCTGAGGAATTTCAGAGGAATGTTGTTCATAAAGTCATCCCTCTGTCTCGCTGCTCATTCCCACAGTTTTTTTTAAATCTCATGTCTGTGTGTGTGTGTGCGTGTGTTTAATCCGTGTGACCTTTTGCTGTTGTTTTAGCACACTCCTGCTAGCTTCCACATGTACTGCTGTGATCTTAGCACACAAAGAGCTACTTGTAACATTGGCACCTCATCACCATTATGTAATGGTTAAAGGCGCTATATGCTGCACTTCTACAGCCATGAAAAGACTTTATAACAATGTTGTAAACAAATGAATCCATCCCTAGCCTCGCAGTTAACAAAAATTATAGGGAGGGAGTGTTATTTTATATTTTGTCTGTCATATGGAAAGGTTTCAGAGATTTTCAACAGAGAACTGTGTGATCTTGTGTGGCAGAAATCGATGCATTTTCCTCTCACCTGTATGCATTTGATAGACAAAAGTGATTGGCCCTTATCTTTGGCTAAAATAACGCCGTAAAGCAAAAGCACAAGTTCAGCATGTGGAAGATAAATAAACTAGCATTGGAGGTTGCTTAAAATCTCAGTAGTTTGTGTTAAAAATGGCTGCAAATGAATGTGAATCTATGTGAACATAGCATTCCTTCGAATAACAGAACCCAGCTGAATCGCATCTGCTCCTTTCTAGCGTGGCAGCGTTATCTTGAGTGGAGTTCTCGTTAGGCGTGCAAGACTTTCTTTGTCTTTATTTGGTGCTGTTGTGTTTGGCTTCAGGCTCGAGTGAAGTGGATATTTCATCTCCATGCATTTGCAAACATTTGCAGTCTGGATCACTGAAAGGAAACTGATTACTAATTTTAGATCAGACGGGGTTACTGTATGTTTATGTGGTCTTTGTGTGAAGATGTTACAAGACTAGTAAGATATTAGGATTTTTAAAATAAACTTTTGCTTTTCCAGATTCAACAACTGGAGACGCAGGTGATCGATGCAGAGAAACGGGCGTTCACAGCTCAGCAGCAGGTGAGGACCAGAAACACAAGTTTGTTTGTCTTTCCTTTCGACTGCGATTATGTGAGTACATGTGTGATGATTCCAGGTGCAGTGGATGGAGGAGAAGCTCAAAGCAGCAGATGGTCAGTCTGGAGACTCAGAGGTGCGTCTGTTTCAGCGGTGCCAGGAGCTGCAGGCGTTAGTGCAGGAGAAGGAGGATGTAATCGCACAGCTGGAGCAGCAGCTGGAGGAGCAGGTAAGAAAAAGCACACGCATAAAGAATTTCAACAGATGTGATGCCAGTGGAGTAATTCATAATCCCCTTTTTTTTAATTTAATACCAGGTCTATCTCTATGAACACCATCTTTAACCTCCTTACTGTTCACTTATGTTTCCCCGCCCTTGTTCTCTGTTTCGCTTCGTCTCAATCTGCTCTTCTTATTCCAAAATATATTCTATTCACCCGGAGAGACAGACGGCTCATTTTTACTTCTTTCAACAGAAACAGCTCCGCCTTCAAGATGCCAAGACGGTGGAAGAGAAGGCAGCTAAGATCAAAGAGTGGGTGATGCTGAAGTTGTCAGAGGTAAATCTGTGTGTACGTCAGCTGTAAAGGCTCCTAAAACACAGATAAGAAAGAGACGGAAATCTGGAAGATAAGTTAAAGTATTTAATGTGGTTGCTGGTTTATCTGAGAACATGTTTGTGCTTCAGTTTGAGGTAGAGAATGCAGCATTAAGAGAAACCAACAAACAACAGGAGGCTCAGATTTTGGAGCTTCAAAAACAAATACAAGGTATAAGCTTTTGGAACTTTGTTGGAACAAGTTAACCTGCAAGTTATACGCAGGTTAAAACTCCTAAATGCCTGCTACTAGCAAATACAGATTTATCAATGCTAATACATTGTAAGCACACGCTGCAGTATGTGCATGACTGTTTGCTGCTTTTGCAGCCTTTGAGCAGAAGTGCAAGGGTGGAGCTGGAGCCCTGTGTAGGCCAGGTGAAGCCCAGCGTCTTAGCAGCCTGACGTTCGGCTGCTTTCAGGTGAGAGGGAAGAACCCGCAGGTCCTGACTGGACCAGCGCCGTCCCAGAAGACCCTGAGCACGCAGGGGGAGACAGACGCCAGGGACAAAATGGGTAAGTCACAGTCACGCAGCTATGGATAATGAAAACAGCATCTGTGAGTGGTTAGATGGGACTCTGGGGCAGAGCTGGACACAGGATGGTAACTATCTGAGTGAGGTCATAGTCATGCTGTATTAAGGAAAGTATTTGCCACTGGAGTATTTTATGGGCCATTTGGAGGCTTTTAATAATAATAATAATGTGTGATAGTTATATAACATAATAACATCACTGATTGTTAGAGTAAGAATGTGAAGAAACAATATAGTTATACTGTGAGATACTAAGATTCTTCAGTCATAATTGTGCAGATCTATTTAATGTGGTGCTGGAATTGTATTAACATTGTTTGCCAAACTGGTTTTAGTGTGTTAGAAAGCCAACACTCACTAATTAGCTATAAACACACAGCATAGCAGAGACTGATGAGAACAAGAATTGGTTTTCCTAGTGTTTGGTCATAAACCAAGTATTCTAAACCAGCGGTCTCCAACCTTTTTTGCGCCACGGACCGGTTTATGCCCGACAATATTGTCACGGACCGGCCTTTAAGGTGTCGCGGATAAATACAACAAAATAAAACTAGTACCGGTACCGAAAAAAGAAGATTTATTCATAACACACGTGAAAGGATCCAGGAAAACCGAGTTAACGATAAAAACGATAACAAAATAACGCTGAAAACCGCTAAAAACCTTGAAAACCATACATTTCACACCTGAGCCTCAACTCTTGCGGCCCGGTACCAAACGACTCACGGACCGGTACCGGTCCATGGCCCGGGGGTTGGGGACCGCTGTTGTAGAGGAAGAGCTGAAAGCTTTAGTCATAACAAAGCATTTACTAGATGGTGTTCCTGGGCACAAAGGTCCACAAAAAAACCTGAAGAGAGGCTAAAAGTGGGTTGAAGAGCTGGAGATGATGTACTGCTGCTCAGTGCTCAGTGATGTGTGTCAGGTGGGTTAGAAAGGAACCTGGAGGGACGCCACAGGAAAGGCATTCACACATAGGGGAGGATTTACTAACTGGGGGGAGTTTGTGTGATGCCGCAATTGCAGATTTGCACGAATGGGGTTGGAAAGATCTGCAGGTGATCTACAAAAAATGGTCTAACTTACAGACAAAATACAGCCAGTACATTACAATAATAACCAGACTTCTACCAAGATCAGCGCAAATCAGCAGGTTTAAAACACCAACCTAAAAATACAGCATAACAGCAGGTTTTTGTTTTTTTTCTCATTATGTGAAAAAAATGTTCTGTGTGCGCACTGCTGATAAAAGACTCACACAGACGTTTTAATCATGCACCGAACTCTGAAAATGTGAAAATCTGAAACGGTGCAGTTCTGTTGCCAAAAGGTTGATTCTGTTCATGTGGACGTAACGTTTTTATAGCGACTTCTTCAGTCTCAGCTTCATTTAAATGCTCTCCTCACAAAGTTTTGTGCTCTGACAGGGAAACTCCAAATCGATAAACAAAAAGGCCAACCACCAAAACATCTGCCGCAAAACTGATGCCACACCTCTTCATTAAATCCTGACAGCAGCTTTTAAGAGTCAAAAGAGGTTTTTGCTGTGGTGCAGAGCATTAGTAAATCTGGCCCATGAACACACTTATTATTGCAGACCTCATTAAATATGCATTTAGATTCACTTTCAGATCCCGCAAGTCAGCCATAATATAAAATGCGATCAATAAAAATACTTTTTAAAGCACCTTGCAGTGTTTTTGAGTTTTACATTGAAATGTTTGTCAAAATGTAGTTAATGAGACTCCAGAAGATCAGAAGTGTTAATATCTGAGTCTTTCAATATATAATACTCACTTTAACTAATGCACAGCATTACAGGGCAAACAGGAAAAGGATGAGTCAGGATCTGACAGTAAATGATTATTCCTGTGCTCTTGCACACTGCACTGGTCAGATGCAACACAGATGTCAGGTTTGCATGGTGAATGCTGCCTCCACCCGAGCTGTCAGATATATTTCTGTTTGTAACGTTAGCACTAGCGTAGATTTGCAAATTCACCAGAAAATAAATGAGGGAGAGAAATTAGATCAAAGAGAGGGGGCAACTATCCCAGAGGAACAAATCCTTCAGTTAACTTATTTAATTTGAATTATTTAACTTTCTTTCATTTAAATTTGTACTGTAATCTAGAAAGATCTCAAATGCTTCGTCTTTAGTGCTCCACCAGCTGTGAAATTATTGCACATTTTTATGCTTTCTTTGGCAGATAAAAGTAGTAGGAAGACAGCCTCATCAGTGACAGATGGTGAAGTCCATAAACCGAGCCAAACTGGACTGCTGTGTTCTCCGCTAGAGGATGACGGTGCACCTGAAAGCTCTGTTAGCAATGCATCTGGACCCGAGTCCCGCCGCGTATTGTCTGTGCTCTCCAGCGCTGCATCAGTGGAGGAAGAAGTATGTGAGAGCAGAAGCGGAGCGTGTGTTCTGGAGTTCAGCCGGCCCAGTAGTGAGACCTACCTGACAGCTTCGGACGACAGCAGCTCTCTGTTTGACGATGACATGCAGCGTACAGAGCGCCCCAGCTTTAGCCTGCTGGAGCCATCAGATGGATCACTAGCAGGGTGTAAGAATGAAGAGGATGGACGCACGGTTAAGTTGGAGGATTGCACCTCTGAGGAGCTCAACAAACGATTCCAGTCACAGAGACTTGACTCCTCATCATCTTCCAGTGAACCTAACACTCCCAGCCCCATCCTCACACCAGCTCTCACCCCTAAACGGCCCAACCCGCCCCAGGATCCAAAAGACGACCCCGCCTCACCCAAACATCCCCGTCTGAGGACTCCAATGGGGTTCGGGTTGATGAACGTGTCTCTGGCCAAGAAACACCTAAGCCAGCCGTCAATCAGCAGTGAGGCAGCACATGGCCAAACGCGTAATGCACTCAGCATGCTGCGCCCCCTCCACCCTCAGGAAACTGATGTTGATGCACAGCAGGAGGTTGGAATGGAAACGGGCAAAGCCACAGTTCCCGAAATCCTTCCCGGCTCACAAGCAGCAAGCACCGTGCCATCCGCACCATATTCATCAGAACCTGGGACAGAGATGGGCTCAGAGAGGTCAGACTGTGATAGCATCACACCTGGCAGCAAACCTCCTACTCCACCTTTGCACAGGCTCCCCTCCTGGGTAAGACTGCCCTTCATGTTAGGCACACCAAGTTGTGTTTTTTTTTATTGCAAATTTGGCACTGGCAACAAATTCGAAAACAAATTCCCAATGTTCAGCTAAGTATGAATAAAGAAATCAAATATGTTTCTTACAGAAATCAATCCTTAATACATTGGAAAGCTGCTTATGTTTTAGGCAATTTGTTTATTTTTTTTACAGAACTTGTTTTTCCTAGATAAAGGAAACAATATTTGCACTACTGTGAAACACAAATAGTCCTTCATGAAGTCCTTCATGTGAAACATTACAATTTTAACAACATATTTTCTTCTAAGTGTAGGACTAAGTACAGAAACTTCTCCATGCTTGTAATTCTGTTGTTTACACTGCCATCTGCTGTAAATGTGAGTAAACAGAAAAGTTTCAAATAGATAAATTCAGTGATTAGAATTAGAAAGCCGTCTTAGCAATGGGGCGGATAACAAGGTTTAAACAGAAAATTAACTGAAAACCAAAGTGAATAAATAGTAAAAAAAAAAAAAAATCCAGTCAAAATAAATGATAGTAAATTAATGGACATAAAATGAAACAAAAAGTTAAATTAGCATACTGAATTGGTAAAATTGTTAGCTAAATTGCTAGCTTTAACAGCTACCATGCTAAACAAAAGGCTATTAAGTATTAGCTAATGTACGGCTAACGGCTAAACGGCTTAAAGTAGTAACAGTTGAAATTTTTATTGTAAAATAACTTAAAAGCACTAAAGTCGCTAAAGATTACAAAAGTGTATTAAATTTATATGCAAATTAAAGTAATGGGCAGGTTGTTGAGATATTTGCTACTTCTTGGCTAAACAGCTGAGAGTCAGTTTAAAGGTAAGATGAACTCTTGCTCATATTATTAACCAGGAGTTGCCTTCATATACTGAAGGGAGATGATTTACAAAAATAAATATAGTGTATGCAGTTATCAGCTTTTAAATGTTATTATCTTAATGGCAGACTTGGTTTTAAAATTGACTAATGACATGGCACATTTTCTTTTCAGGAAAGTCGTATATATGCTGTTGCTAAATCAGGAATCAGACTGTCTGACACTTCATGCACAGACCTGTCTAACAAAGGTAAGAGAGTGGGTAAAAAACAGGTCTCTCTACTTAGTTGACAGCTTAGTCTGCTGTAGTGGTTTCTAATAAACAAACTGTACTTTGTGTCCTAGACCCATCCCTTCAGTCTTCCTATCCAGCCTTTGTAATGTACACATCACTCATCTATAAAAACATGACTACACCAGTTTACACTACTCTGAAGGGGGTAAGTATAAGAGTACAAGACCATGTTTAATTGTAACACCTGTACATTCCCCCACTGTCTATTTGATCACTTGTGAACTTGAAAAAAAAAAGCTTTTTTTTTTTATAGTTAACAGCAATTGTGTCACCAAAGTGGATTTTAATATCTAGTATATGGCTCTGAGTGTGTGCCATTTTCAAATTGCAGAAAGCTACTCTGCTGAGCAGCAGTCCCTTCTCAGATGAGTCATCAAGCTCTGAGGAGTCATCTAGTTCAGGAGACGAGGACGGCTCCCTGTGCAGCTCCCACACCTCCTCCAGCTCCAGAAAAGACAGCAGCCCAGGCAGCCCACGCTCTCTCAAGAGAGGTACAAACAACCACTGCATATAAAAGATGGACATAGCCGCTAGTTTTGCATTGTGACCTTCCCCAAGTTTTTTATACCCCTGGTACTAGATAAGATACTAGAGATGGCACGATACCACTTTTTATGTCCGATACCGATATCATAAATTTGGATATCTACCGATAACGATATAAATCCGATATAGCGTATTTTGTAATCAATAAAATGTTTTTTTTAATATCTTGCTGCATTGTGTATAAGTTCATACTCAAGTTTAAAGAACAAAACAAAACTAAAGCTATTCTGTTATACCTGTATGCAAAAAATACACTGCACCCAAAATATTTCGTAGTTCAGCAACACTGATCAATCTAATAGACATAAACCTGCACCATCCTCCCTATTCTGGTATTTTAAAGAGAACTCAGTGGAAATATTAAACAACCTAGCTAATAGGGTTGCCAACTCCCAGCAACAAAAATAGGGAACCACCCCCAACCCTCCGCCTCGTGATGCTTAATCGATGTAATCGGCTGTAATTTAATGCACGTGTAAAAAAAAAAAAATGCACAGAAATCAATAATATTTCTACAGTAATTAAATAGATTCAATATCTTTATTCAACAGAATTTTGGATCCTTCCATCTCTAAACCATACACTGTGTAAGCGCATCACACAGATCTATATTAGTACCATACTAATTAAAATACTTGAATTTCACTCACCAAATTAGACAGGATATGAGTCCAACTGACCACTTAAGGTCAGCTGCCATTTTTTGAATTGTTAGTACACTTGTCAGGTTCAGTCCTTAAGAGAAACATAATAGTTTTTAAACCCAGATAATTATGTTATCCTGTTAAATTGATACCAACTGTTATAACGTTACAGACAGGCAGGACTAATAACATTTGCTGCACACTAATGCTACAGTTTTATTATTAGCCATAGCTCCTAGCTACTAACTTATTTATAACTAAATAGCTAATGTGGCTATTGTTGACACAGTCAGTGGTTCTGCATGTTTAATTTCACACAACCCTCCCGGAGAGCACTAGCTTGTGCACCACAGGCTAAATTTGTAGCTATTGGCTAACTGCTTATAGATAAATAGGTTTTAGTATCAGTTAGTATTTGAGAATTGATTTTAAGACTGATATCTGTGGGAATGGACTCATTTTTGGAGCTAGTCTTGTGTGGCTATCACAGGACCTGGAGATTTAAGAAGCCTTTTTGTTTAATTCTTCACCACCAAAGACTGACTTTCTCTGTTTTTCATGTGTGAACTTACTGTCCTCAAGCTGTGTCCGTGGCGTCGATGACATCAGAGTGTGACTATGCCATCCCTCCTGATGCTTACTCCACTGACACGGAGTGCTCGGAACCGGAGCAGAAACTGCCCAAAACCTGCTGTTCACCCAGTGACAACGGCAAGAGTGTTAGTGACAGATCACTTTACCTCTGACACGCTCAACACTTTGTTGTTATGCTTTAAACAATGCTGACTGGTTAAGTTACATCATTTAAAGCTAATTTTAATAAGCAAACTACAACTGAAGTCTTTGAGGTAACTCTAAGATTAGAAATTGATGCGACCGCATTACTGAACTACCTCTACCTTCAAAAGCTATTTGAGCAGCATGATGGCATCATGTTTTTGAACCTAAGGCTCATTAGCCAACCTTTAGTTAATTTCTCAGGTCTGTTTCATTAGCGGTTCTCTTTGGTGCTGCATAAAACTGAACAGTGTCACAACCTTTAGGAGCCAATGGAGAAGTCCGGCTATTTGCTGAAAATGGTCAAAACCTGGAAGAAGACCTGGAAGAGACGCTGGTTTGTCCTCAAAGATGGAGAGCTGCTCTACTATAAGTCACCGGTATGTTGGTTTCAACAACAAAAGCTACTTTCGGCTTCTCCGCGTGTTTGATTTGGCAGATTTTTACACCAGATGGTCTTTCTGTCCCAATCACTTCATCTACTTTTTCTGGATTTGAAACGTTTTTGTTTTTTCCTTTGTTGAGACTTGTGGCCGACAGGTTAACAAGATTAGGATTTCTGATTCTTCCACAGAGCGATGTGATCAGGAAACCTCAGGGTCAGATCAAGGTCAGCGCCACCAGCAGCATCGCCCGTGGCGAGGGCAAGCAGATTCTCCAGGTATTCAGTCTTCGATGAACGGCCACAATCGTCTAACATTTCTTTTTTTTAAATCCTTTCCTTCACATTTTCACGTCCACCTGGGCTTTTATTTATCCTTGTGTGTAGATAGTAACAGGAAAGCGCGTTTACTACCTGAAGGCGGACTCTCCTAACCTGCTCGAGGAGTGGCTTCGGGTCCTGCAGAGCGTGCTGAGGCTGAAAGCCGCCAGTCCTCTCTTCACTCAGCCGGATATTCGCCCTGGCATGAAGGGACTACTCATCAAGGTCCCCGCATCAAAGTTTACTCATTTTCTAATAGTACAGAGAAAATGGAACAATATTTCACAAACTTCTGTGTTTTACGCTCCGATTTGTACTTCCTCTGCTGCAGGTGAAACACGGCTACTCTAAGCGGGTTTGGTGTGCTCTGATCGGCAAAACGTTGTACTACTTTCGCAGCCAAGAGGACAAGGTGAGCATCTGTAGAAATACATCTGTAGCCTTTGTCAGGAGCAGGTGATCAATTTAAAACTGACCGGAGCTGTTACTTGTGACTGAACGTGGAGCGCACGTCTGCTTTTGTTTCCAGTTCCCACTGGGTCAGATTAAGCTGTGGGAGGCTCGGGTGGAGGAGGTGGACAGGTCAAGAGATTCAGATGACGACCTAAAGGCATGCGGGCGAGGCCTACAGCCGGCACCCTTCACCATTGCCATTCACCCACAGGAGCAAGGACCCACTTACCTGCTTATTGAATCCCGCCATGAAAAGGTCAGCGCGGGACTGAAAGGTTGAACTTTTCTGTTCTGTAAGGCAGGCAGACCCGTGTATCTTCTGTCCATGGCTTTTAAGCTCATGTGTACAGTCATTTTTCTGTACTGCAACAAATCTGCTCTGAGACTGAGAGCAGCTCCATGAGAGGCGCTTCCTGTATTTTACTTGAAGCTAAAACCAATCCAGTCAATTTTAAACTCCAAACTGATGATTATGCATAATTATGTTTCCTGTTGTGATTTTTTTCTCACGTGTCTCTGGGATCATTGTGTAGGAGTCATGGCTGTACCATCTGTCTGTGGCAGCAGGCACTACGGTGGGCAAAGTTGGCACTGAATTCGAACAACTGGTGGGAAAACTCTTCCAGCTGGATGGAGATCCAAGTGAGTACAAACGATTTTGTCTTGTGTTGTGTTTTATAGTTTTGTTTTACTTGATGCAGTTTTTTTCATACGTTCTCTCATCCACAGATAATTTTATTGCAACTTAAAATGTCTTATGTCACAGGAATCCCCCCCCCCCCCCCCAAAAAAAAAAAATACTGATGTAACATTAATAAGGAAGTCTGAATTAAATAAAGAAACATTTCTCACTGCAAACTGTGTGACCAGTTAAATGAGCCCTCATGTTTAGTGAGACGTAAAGGAAGACACATGGACTCAGAAAGTTAAGTACCTTATTGTACCTTACGGGTATAACACCTTCTCACTGTGGTGTTCCCCCCTATTTTTGCCCTTGTAATTACTATTAGCTCAGGAGATAGAGCAGTGGAAGGGTTGGTGGTCCAATCCCTGGTTTCTCTGGTCTGCATGACTA